TGTAGATGATAAATGTAAAGATATGTAGGGCGGTACTGAACTTTCCTACATCAAGTTCAAATTTTCAATGGATGTTCTAGATGACTTTAGATTGCCAAATACTAAATTTCATCCATTTGATCAATGAGGTTTTATTTTACCATTTCTCCCTCATTGCTTATTTACAATATGTAGGCGGGTGGAAGAAGATATTCCCTGACCTGTCGACCTTCAGTAATCACCAGGGAGCAGGGAGGTATTTTTCCTAGTTTATCATAATAACAGACAGACTGGTCAGTTTGACCATCACATGACCTGGTAGTCAAGAATGTGGTCATTGTTAATTAGTTTCAGATGGCCAGTTGGTCAGTTGGCCAGGAAACCGCCATATTTATACACACATGATTGAACTGTGAACCCAAGGATAGATGTTACTTGTCTGTAAGCTCAAATCTTGGAAACATTTATTTTGTAAGTAGACATTTTAGAAATGCTGAGAGTTATTTTAATTAAAGATACATTAGTTAAGAGTTTAATAAAGAGTTGGTCATTCTTGCTATAATAATTCTAAAATAGATGATAAAAAAAGAAAATATTGAAAATTTCATTCAAATTACTTCATTCTCAGCCAAGTTATCATTGTTTGTAGTTTTGTTTGACAAGATGTGTGCACAGTGGTAACCAGGGCACTGGTATAATTGGGACTTAGCTTTGCTTTCCCATTTTTGAATTAAATTTTTAAATGGCAAACCGTTTTAAATTATTTTAATCTAGTTAAAATCTTGAGTATCTCGAGTTGATTATGGCCTGGATCAGTTAATTAATGTCTAATTAATAATTAGGTCTAAAGAAAGACTTACAATAGGCAGATTTAGCTCTTGCATAGTGTATGTTTAATTTATTACAAAGTGATTAGATCTATACAGTACAAAGTTTTGTTTTATAAGGAAGGTTTGTTTTCTTCTGTCTATAAGTATAATGCAAGTTTTTGTCAGAACACCATTTTCTCTCTCCCCGAATACATTTATGTTCTTAATCAGTTGCGATATTTGAAATCAATACCAATCTATACCTTGTGTGGGGGCAGCTGGTATTCAGACACTTGACATATATATTTATTATGGCATATTTTGTTGAAACTTTATCATTTAAAGTTTGGCAAAGAAACATGCTTTATTCAGATGTGAGGTAACATGTATACCATTGATAGGATGTTAAAGATCCCTTGACAATTGAAAATTGAAATAATAGTATTGTTGGTGTAGAAAAGTTAGACGTTAAACTCAATTTCATTTAATCGAAAATGTACGTGTAGTTGGAATTTACCAAAGAAATTTCTGTTGGCAATGTCAATAAAGAAGATCTTATGACAGGATCTGATTAATGATACTGGGATTGTTTCAGGAATCAGGGAAATAGAATTCTTTGATCATGGTTTTATTTATAAACTTGTGGTTGAGTCTGTGAAGAACTATCCCTATTAATCATAGATTCATCATCTGAAATTCTTCTACGATAAGGTGTTCCCATTACATACCTACATGTATCAACCAAAGATTTCAATCATGGAGAAATAATATTACTATTGATTCTACATGTACATTGGGGCCGACAAGGACATAGGAGGTGATGGGCATAGTCATTTGGATGGGATGAAAAACCAAGGTCCACTTTATGTTCATACTGGAGTGCATATAAAAAAAACTCGAAAAGAGTAGGTGCCTGGACAAAATTCTCATTCCCAGCATTGAACATCAAAATGAAATGAAATGGGCTGGGCTAATGAAGACGGACATATGCCATACAGTGCGCTGTGAGGGAAATTTTGCCCAGGCAGCCGCAAAAAGAACTCTTTGTTAGTCTCCAAATAACCCTAGTGTTATGTTGATGAGATGTTAATAACTGTATTTTACATGTGTTTGAGTATATATACATGTGGTAGTTGGTATTTCTCAGGCTAGGGTTTATCATGTTATAATAATTGGTAGAATATTTAGAGGTTGGCATGAGTTCAATATCTGACATCATACTTGATTAACTGTGTATGTATATATTATACTAGATATGTTCTACATGAAATGAGGATTAACGTTCTACTTTCCTATACCAGCTGCGTTAATGAGTGAGAAAGAGTTTAAAGTCCACTCGACACAAAGTAGGTCATTTCAGGACTAACATATGGTTTAATATGGTTTAATTTTATTTCACCTACAACCGGGGATTCGAAACCAGATGACTCAATGACAGGCCTTATGATACAGCACGCACATGCTAACCATTCGGCCATCCAACCCTCCCCCCTCCCCCATTGGGTTAATGAAGACTGGTATACACCATGCAAGGATGCAGTGCTCTATATGTTGTGTAACACCTGTAATTAGCCATAGAGAAATTCTCTAATTAATTTACCACAATGCTAGAATCATACCACATGCTTTAAATGGAACTTTCATGATTGATCTTGGCTTGAACTTAGAGAGAGATGGATTCTTCAACTTGTCAGCAAAGAATGTTTGAAGTTTCTTTGATTAAAGTTTTTCCGATTCCTTTTTCTGTCTAATCTATAGTCAGAAAGAAATAACTTTGTTTTGTAGGGTAGAGAGGGATGATGGGAGGGATGGCCGGGTGGTCTGATCTTTGAAATGATTTAGATGAAATAAGAACAAGGATAAAAGGGTCACTATTAATTCTGTTATAAATGTCTTAATATAGAGTAAGAAGATTCGTCAATCAACCAGTAAAGGGATCTGGAATAAGCATCATGACATGTTAAACTGACAGTAATAAGATCAAGTTTCCACAGTGATGCACTCACTGGATGTCGAGATCTCTCTCTGTAAACATACCAACCATCCTTCACACAAATGTACTTGTACTAATTTTAAAAATAGTCATATGTGTATACTGGTACAGGTTTATTCATCATTAAGCTATTTTCCTCCAGTTCATTCATCATTTAGCTATTTTTCTCCAGTTTATTCATCATTTAGCTAAATTTCTTCAGTTTATTCATCATTTAGCTAAATTTTTCCAGTTTATTCATCATTTAGCTAGTTTCCTCCAGTTTATTCATCATTTAGCTATTTTATTCATCATTTAGCTAGTTTCCTCCAGTATGTTTAGTATGAGAGATATGGGTGTCATGCACAAGGCAGGGTATTCCCAACCTTTCTAGAACACCTGACACCATTTCCCATTTTAATGGAAATAGTTATCGTTATTTTGTAAAGGATATATATGTGACCTGCTCCCTCAAAACCAGGCACTTGTCGCACAACTTCATTTTGTACTGTATGCCTTCTTGTTGCCGTGAATAAGCCGAACTCAACTCAGATGATACAACAAATTTTAAAAAGAATTGCATTTTTGGAAAGCTTAGGCTGTGGACTATTCAAATATGCTGCAGCTCTATTTTTATAAAAAAGACCAAGACAAGCGCCTGGTTCTGTGGAATGTAACATAGACTTGTATATTATGTACTATAGATACAGATAATGATTATTTGGGATGTAAAAGAGAACAGACCTGGACCCCCTAGTCTGTTATTTCTATAAAACACCTCATAAACTGTAGATTTACAACTGATGTTGTACATGGTATCTATAGGTTACCATGTTGTTAATGTACCAGAACTTGGTTTATCTCATGGTATCATGGTAGATATATTGTTGACTTACTCAGATTTAAAAATTAGAAGATTATATTGTCTGGTATCAGATTGTATGTTGGGTTACTCAGATTCGTTAATTATATGTAGAAGGTTATATTCTCTGGTATCATATGGTATGTATATTGTATGTTGAGTTACTCAGATTTAAAAATTAGAAGATTATATAAAATTCTCTAGTATCATATGGTATATATATTGTAGAAGGTTATATTGACTGATATCATATATGGTATGTACATGTATATAGTATGTTGGGTTATTCAGATTTGTTGATACAGTAGAAGGTTATATTGACTGATATCATATACATGTATGGTATGTATATTGTACGCTGGGTTACTCAGATTTAAATTTTTTTAGATTATATTGACTGATATCCTATATGTATATTGTTGTTGAGTTACTCAGATTTAAAAATTAGAAGGCTATATTGACTGGTATCATATATGGTATATGTATGTATATTGTACCTTGGCTCGGGGGGGGGGGGGGATTGGGTGGCTGAGTGGTTAGCACTTGCGTGCTGTACCATAAAGTCTGTCATTGAGTCAACTGGCGTGGTTTCGAATCCCCGGTTGTATGTGACAAGGAGTAAGGTCGCCTGTCCAACCTCGTGGTTTTCTCCGGGTCCTCCGGTTTCCTCCCAATGCCAAAAGACCCCCACGCGCAAGCGAATTATTGAAATAAAATTCAACCATATGTTAGTCCTGAAATGACCTAGTTTGTGTCGAGTGGATGTCGTTAGACCCCATTTCTCTCTCTCTCTCTGTACCTTGGCTCAGATTTATTCATTACATGTAGAAGGTTATATTGACTGGTATCATATGGTATGTTTATTGTTGAAGGTTATATTCTCTGGCGAGCCACGGTGGCTAAGTGGGTAAGACACTGGCTCGCTAGCCTCGAGGTCGGGTGTTCGATCCCTGCATTGGTCGAGAAAGTTCATCCTGATTTTCCAACGTGGTTTCCCCTTGTCAGTGGTGTAGAACGGAGGGCCTGACAAGGACAGCTGTCTAGTCCTTGGGATGAGACAGAAAACAAAGGTCCCGTATATACATTGGAATGCACATAAAAGATCCCTCGGCTGTTGGAATTCGATATAAGAGTAGGCGATAGTTCCACTGCCCGAGCAAAATTTCCCTCATAGCACACTGTATGGCGTATGCCCGTCTTCATTAGTCCAGTATAGGAGTAGAACCGTAGGACATTAAACCCAATTTCATTTCATTTCATTTATATTCTCTGGTATACAAATAATATGTATATCGTACGTTGAGTTACTTAGATTTAAAAATTAGAAGATTATAGAATTGTCTGGTATCATATATGGTATGTATATTTTATTTTTCAGACTTGTTTGTGAATCAAGGAGTTTAGAAGATTTCTGAAGTGTTGTGAATTGTGATATTTTCTTGTGAAAAAAACCCTGATAAACATTAAAAAAAATTCATAATGGCTGAATATGATGATATGAGCTGGCACACACCCATGTTTGTGGATAGAATTTTAGCACAAATGTAAGTAAAACGTTTTGTTGATCTTAAAAAAAAAACCATGGCTACTTTGTAACTATTTGTAAGCTATGTGTTTGTAAACACAAATTATTTGTCAATTTAAATGTTATGATCTTACCAGGAAAGGGTAGGCTTCTGATATTCAATATTTAAGACAAAATAAACATTTTATATGTGTACCATAATGCGTTTCAGCGCCATTTGTAACAAGGGACTCAAAGAACAAGGCTAGACATATTCCACAAGTCATGTCAAACAGTAACGTCATATTCTTATCTAGAGAGCATGCGCAATAAATATAATCGGTGTAGACTGGAATAACCAGATGCTAGAAATTTCTATTCGGTTTAGACTCATGCCGTATTTCGCTGGACCTAACTGATTTGAAATTACAGTAAAAACAGAAACCATTGAATGTAAATCAGTTTAAATACATTCATATTACATTATTATATGCTTGCGACCCATTTGTGTCAATTTCTAGGTGCCAAATATTAACGATTTAGCTCCTTTAAGTAGGAATGAATACCATGGAGTCAGACAACCGATGAATCATTATTTTATACCTAAAGTAAATGTGATTCAATCAACCAAAACATAATTCTATTTCTTTATATACTGACAAAACTTGATCCACATCTCTTGTTGAAATCTGTTTTCTTTATATGTAACAAAACCTGATAAACTCCACCTTACTACAAACAAATACCTGTATATATATCTACCTGTTGATACGTTTAACGAGAAATTATTTTTACCTGTTTCTACCTGTTTACATTAACTATATATGTCTTACTTTAAACACTGTGTCTGTACTTAAGGATCTTCATCTCCATCATCATATAGACAAAAGTAGGTTTCATGTTGTCCTTATTATGTACTTGAAACTTCATTTCTCCCATCAAAAGGCAAAACCTAGTAACTCACTTTTTTATCAAAATTGAGTTAGGACCAAATTTGTAGTTACTAGGGTATGTGCTTCCTGTTGTTGTACTAGATATTCCAATCTTTTGATTTTGTAAGCAGTTGCACCCATGACACAACCTAGCAACTTCCTTCATTTGCCTAGTACATGTATACCACAGCAAAACCTAGTAACTCAATAGTAAAATCAATGGGTGAGCTGGGGTTTAATATTCATTCATTCCGTTTTCCTTTGTTTTCTCAAAATAAGAAAAAAGTGAGTTACTAGGTTTTGCCTTTTGACGGGAGATTTTAGGACTGACATGCATACCAATCCTATAGTTATATCTATAACGCATTTCGATTCAGGGGCCACACAAACTAAAATTTTACATCATGTGGCCTGGAGATATACAAAAATATCAAGTGAAGAAAATTTTATTGATTTATTTCACTAAAATCGTTACATATTATCATGCAATACAATACTTTGAAATAGACAATATTAACCATTTTTTAAATTTTACACTGAATTCTTTTAGAAACTACCACAAAAAAAATAACCGTACAGAAGTCAGACTTTTACTGAAACTGAAAAGCAGTAATAAATGATTTCCGCTGCTAGTTTCTAAGAATGATCGACACGTCAGTTTGTTGAAATTTGTTCCCCTGGCCACGTTTAAACCCTGATCTATATTCTACCCTCGGGGAGAGAAACGGAAGTATCCAACCAGGGAAATGCCACAAGGTACAAAAAAAATATAAAAAATATAAGTTTTGTTCTGTGATACAATATTCAGATAGATTACCATTTTTTTGATTACTGTAGATATATTTTAAAGGGACAGTAACACTCTTGCTGGCTTGACAGCTCCAGAAAATAAAAAAATAGCCTTATTCTAAGTACTAGATGTGTTAGTGTCCTACCTGTTGTGTAAATTATCCATTAAATCCTATTTTACTTGTCCAGAGGGTTCAAAAATATATTTTTAAATCCAAGTCACATTTGAAAAGCTTTACGTCAGGCTTTTCAAATTATTTAGTTGAATTTTTCCAATTTTTTAAATTAGGTGTGTTAAGATGAAATTTGTATCATCAATTAATTGGAATATTGTAAAATAGTACAATTTGTTGACCAGAATAAAGATTGGGACATATTCAGTTACAACAAGAGTGGTATTGAGCCTTTAAATGTACATTGTAAGTGCTGTGTACGCCAGTCTATATTACTTTACATACCGGTACTTGTAATTTGTGCTTTTGCGATTTGGGATTCCTGGAAAATGATGGATATTCAGTAATTATCCATAAGATTTTTTTATTTTCAATTCATTTCTAGCCTAATATTCATATTTGACATTTAATAAACAGCTTTGAATTAAAGTACATGTATATGAGTTTAGGTAAAGTCAGTGTAGTGCCTACAGCTCTTAGAGTTAATGAAAACCGTGTGTTATTGTATATACCATAGTAATGATGGTTATTTATAGTAACTCATCTATGGTATATGTATATAAAATACTGATATAAGTACTTGATGTATATTATACTAATTACACTATATAAACTATAAATATACTCACGAAAGAAACACCCTGTCACATGCTTCGTCATGTGACACCTTTAAATTCATTTTTGTCGTCATCGAATTGAATACTTCAATTAATATTGTTTTGTACATAATGATCAAGCGGCGGCGTAGTTGTCTTAGTACAACGCCCGTCAAGTGCAGTATTCTAAGTAACTAGCTCAAATTGGGCGAGTCTTGCATGTATAGAAAAACAAGCTACGTGAGGATGAGTCCAGAAATATTCCAGAGAATCCTAAATATAATCAATCCTCTCGTTGCCAAACAAACAACCAAGATGAGACAACCAATAAGCCCAGGAGGGCGATCGACGGTCACTCTCCGTTTTCTCGCTACAGGTACTGGAAAAATAACGCCCATTCTGATTACCATCTATGAATCCTAGGACTATATTATTATTGAGTACATTGCTATATAGACGGAACAATCCACTCTGCCTACCATATGTATTCGACAGCTTTGCCAGAATTCTAAACTTAATTTCAATTAGTTAATTAGGGCTAAATTAGAATACCCGAGCCACTTATATATACTGTACATGCAACAGAAAAAAAATTCTGAGAAATCTCGTGTGTGGTTATGTCACATGAGAAGAATAACCAAAAATGATTGGTTTAATAGGTGAATTTATTTTCTTCGTTGTTGCTTAACTTGTCGCCGAGATGAGCACATTAGACGATTTGTTGCCGATGAAGCGACGACTTTGGCGATCATATCAAACAAGTCTGATATCGGCGACCATTGCGGCGGTGGTCGCTGGCGACGAAATATCGATTGCGATCTAGTGCGCACACTAGGCGAGTTTTAGATTTTTCATCGTCGGCGACCGAAATCGCCTACATGTATGACGTCGCGTAGTGTGCGCCAGGCTTTAGCTCCATGTGCATTAAAGACATGACCAACCAGGTGTTCCACCTAAATATTAAAAATGCAAAATACATAAAATTTTAACAATTTGATTATAAGTGAGCTAAGAAAAAACATCTGTCTAAAAATGGGCTTCTTGGTATGGATAAAAGGGGGGGCCAAATGTGGTTTGTCATTGAATCAGCTGGCGAAGTTTCGATTCCCTGCTTGTATGTGACAAGAAGTAGGGTCGCCCGTCCAACCTTGTGGATTTTCTCCGGGTGCTCCGGTTACTTCCCACTGCTAAAGACCCCTACGCGCAAGCGAAATATTGAAATAAAAATTGGACCATATGTTAGTCCAGAAATGACCTAGTTTGTGTTGAGTGGACGTTAAACCCCACTTCTGTCTCTCTGGTATGGATAGAATATAAGAATTATTATTTTTTGAATGCAAACTAATAATAATGGCATTTTGAAAGCAATTGAATATTAAAAATGAAATCCAACTGTGTATAGCTGTAATGGAAGTAATAATTGTAAATCAACTCATAACTCCAAACCAATTTAAGGTTTTGTTTATCAGGATATTGATAAATAAATAGCTTCATGTAACTGTAAATTATTTTATGTACAAATTTCAAAACCATCTTTATTTTTAAATTAGTTTTTTCTCAAAGAAATCGAAGCAAAATTGTTAATACGTAAAGGTGTTCCCGAAGAAATTGTTGTGGTCAAATGACTATTTCATAAAGAGCAAAATCTACTTGTCATTTAGCCAACTGCACACCTTAACATGGCTTACAGGTGTGCATAATTACATGCATGTATGTGGGTACATATAACAGTAATTAGTACAGTAATACCAGGTAAATTGATAACCTGTTGTCATTTATCTAATTGTGTACCTTAACATACCTGTAGATTACAGGTGCATACATTATGTATATCTAAATATGCTAGTTATTAGTGCAGTATTAATAACAGGTACCTAGTACCTGTACATTAATAACAAAACATGTGATATTACATGTTGTCATTTATGCAATTGCTCACCTTAATGTGGCGTATGGAGCCGAGGTTAGGAGAGAGCCTATACATTTAAAAGGGTAAATTTCCTTCAGAAATGGCTTCTGATGCATTGAAATAAGACTTCAGTCATGCCGGAACAGGGACCCCCCATCCCATCAGCCATCAACCCCCTACAGAGAGCATTTTTCTGCCCATATCCCCAAGTCTTATGATTGATGAAACACACCCATTGTTCTGTGCCAAATCAGCTAATAAAGACGTAGGTTTAAAGCCAAGTTTTATCTTAAAAAACCTCAACACAGATCATTAGATCACGTCATCACATTAAATAAAACAATCCTACAAAAATATATTTAAACTCTTGCCAATTCTGATAAAGACATGAACATATATTAATGGTGGTCTGTTAAATATAACAGAGATTATCTATAAATTCACCTTGAAATATTCCACGTGTATTTGTCTTTTTGAATATTAACAGGTGGTCGGTCGAAAAGGAGGTTCCATTGTGCAATGTGTATTGGATAAATTGATCATTTTCTGAAAAGGTCATATGGTTTGACGTTCGATGATTGACCCATGTGTTATGTATGCCTATTAGAATATTACTGTGTATTAGCTGATAAAATAGATGT